GTCAATCCCACTATTAGTGGGTAAAAGAGTAGCTCAAGAGTTGGCGATGGATGGTGATGACTAGCTGCCTTCCCTCTACTCTTACACTGCTAAATTAGGGACGGCTAACGCAGATAAACAAATAAACACGAGATAATTTTTCCATCTTCGCTTCACAAATATTAGGTCAAACCCTTTTTTAAAGTATTATTATGATTTTATGAGTTATGCAAATATATATATATACATACAAATAAATGGTAAAAATCAGGTGTTGCTCAATATTATGTTATTTTTTTTTCAGTTATCATGTGTAAGAATAAGAACAGAAGCTTAGTTGTTTTTTTTACACACTGGGCAGTCACTTATTGAACTATGGTACTTTATTAAGCAAAGAACAAACACAAGTAATACTCATTTATTGAAATTAGGTATTTTCTTTAGAAAAGTATTATTAAACAAAGGACAAACACATGGAATAGTCACTTACTAAACTAAGATACTATATTTAGAAAAGTCCTATTGATGAAAGGACAAACATGAGTTAAAGTAGTCTATTGAATTAAGCTACTTTATCTTTAAAAAAAGTTTATTTAAGCAATGAATAAAGATACTGAATAGTTATTTATCGAGTTAAGGAATTTTATTTAGAAAAGCCCTAGTAAGCAAAGGACAAACGCATGAATTAGTCTCTTATTGAACTAAGGTACTTTATTTAAAATATCCCTATTAAGCAATGAACAAAGATATGGAATAGTTGCCTACCGATATAACGTGTATTTAGTAAAGGTCAAAGGATTTACTTGTATTCATATGATATATATATACTGTTGTTGACTGTGATTTGTGAAAATATGCAGTAATCTGTATTTTGATTGGCCTCACAAAGAGTGTAATACGAAATAACAATCGCGAAACACAAACTGTATCTGTATTATTACTAAGTACAGTCGAACAAATCAAGACTTAGCGAATTTTAACTACTAACTTTATATATATTGAGAACCGTAGTGTTTGTCCCAGCGTTCGTTTGTCTCCCGTTTCAAAAGTTACCCACGCAGACAAAGCTCAACACTCGCTTCTGAAATGACGGAAGAACAGGCATGAATAATGTTGATGCCAAATTTTATTGCACAAGCAGGATATTCTACACTAATTTGTTAGGAATTAATCACACTATCATTCACATTTCAGAACGTGACGTAGCTTAAAGAATTAAAATGTAGATTTACCGTATGTTATTGTTGGACGGCTCTTAGCATGACTGAAATGCTGAACAATTACTTTTTCACGGTGGGCGACATAAGTAGCTCAGAGCTTTGGCTCTGAATGAAACCAAGAGTGCAACACAATTAACCTTTTACAAGTCCATGAAATAATTTAAATTGATAAATTAACTTAAACTTTTCCTGTCACTGGGGACGGGTACTTTTGCTTGTTCATAATAAGGCCGGATATTGTGATTTTCGATTTAAACTAAAGGTTTGCCAAATTAATATTTGAAATCAAAACCAGAACTTTTGTTTCTAAATTGCTATCTTTGCTGTTCTACAGCTCCTTCAGAAACAATATTTTTATTTCACCAAAACTACAATATTTTATTCCTGACAAAAAAGAAAACAAGTTATAGTTCATTATTCCAGCCGTACCGTGGAGGAAAGTGAAGTATAAGTAAATTTTATAGGTCTCACTGGCTACCAGTGAACAAAATATTTTGTCTATAACAGTTACTAGATGGCAGAACCAGTCAAGCTTATTCGTAAGGTATATATGTGTATGTGTGTACACAACTTACATGTCAGTAATTTAACTACGGTTGAAAATATTCGCGAATTAACGATGCTAGAACAATAAATTATTTTTCTGGTTAGGTGAATTTAGGATAAATTTAGAACTTGGCTAAGGATTTTGCAGAAAAAGCTTTTTAAATGTGCAACACATTTCGTAAATAATGTTCTTGGTATATACGGTGTTTCTAGTGATGATCTGCTCAACCAGCTTAATCCCTAGTTCACTTATATAGGTAAAAACAAACACCGTTGGCTTAGAACCCAATTCACTTGGTGCTTATAAATGCTTGCTTCTTTTTCCAAGTTATATGTAGCAGAAAATTAATTTTCTGTCGTCATAAAAGGTGTACATCTCGTGATGCTGAATGTTAAGTAATGCTTAATTATAGGAAAAATTCTTCACTTTACAAGGTTGTTAACTTATATAACTTTCGATGCATTTTAACCTCAGTCACGTGGATTTAAGAATTTTAAACATCTGTAGTCTTGACTTGAACTTGTTGTTGTTGTTGAGGTTGGCTGTGCGCTGACAACGTGAAACTTTTGGAAGGCTCCTGAAGAGAACTCGACTTCCCATGCCGCACATTAACTTCTGGAGAAAAATTCACCAGGTTCTTGTGAAGTTCATTTTGTGACCTACTTGACATTAGCAATACAACCTTATCGTGTTTGTCAGAATCATCCAAACTTTCTTCGTCAACTTCTTTGATTTCGTCGAACGGTATATGTATGGTGCGACGACGTTTTTCTCGTCGTGCCTGAAGATTCAACCTCTGACTGCTTCTGTAGGAGTGAGAAAAATCTCTCCTTGTTGACCTGTGTAACCCGGAAAGTGGTTCAGGGTACGTGGTTTCTAGTATATGATACACTCCTGAATGAGGCAGATGTTCTGTTGTCTTATTGGCCATCGCAGGAAGACCTGTAACAGAATTACTCTGTACATAGCTCTGATGACTGATTACGATATATTTCATTTTTGAAAAGAGAAATGTTATGATAAGAGAATAAATTGTTTTAATCAAATACATGACATTATTAACATTGAAACGAGATCATTGCAGCCTCATGTCTTAAAATATAGATGAAGTTATACTTGTAAACATCCATATTTACAAGATTTTATATTTCAAAATCACACTCTAGACTTGATGAGAATTCGTTTTAAATTTTATAAAATTAGACGAATTACAAAAAAATTATTGAAACATATTACACCGCTATACTTTAAATGTTATATGAAACAGGATATAATTAAACAAAAACATACTTGGAATAATACATAATTATTAAGTGGTTTACTATAGGCATGCTTTAAATATAAAGAGAGTGCCGGATGCTTAATTATTTTCTAAATAGTATGTTCGCCCTTTCAGCCGTGGGAGCGTTATAATGTGACAGTCAATCCCACTGTTTGTTGGTAAAAGAGTAGCCCAAGAGTTGGTGGTGGGTGGTGATGACTAGCTGCCTTCCCTCTAGTCTTAGACTGCTAAATTGGGGACGGCTAGCGCAGATAGCCCTCGTGTAGCTTTGCGCGAAATTCAAAAACAAACAAACAAAATAGTATGCGGTATACTTTGAATAGTACAGAATTAGAATTTGAAATGCTTTAAATTCTATACAAAAGAATGAGCATACATTATTTTAAAACGATTTTTAGTATGCAAATCAGCAAGTCACGTGACAACCACATCCGATATAAAGTTGCGATGGAACGGCATGACTCAGAACAACATACTAACATTGTTCGGCATTTTCATAAGTTGTGTGAGGGCACAGCTTTGGGAGGGTCATGTAACAGCCCTCTCTAACACAAAATATTAGGTCGTTAATAAATTAATGTCACGTTTTGGAATACTTTCATTAACCACCCCCCAAAAAACGCACATCATGTAAAATAGTTAAACGAACTGCCTAAACGTCACGTTAGTATAGCATATATAATGTGTAAAAGTTTAGTATACTCTAA